GTTACTTTTGACCTATTGGACGAGACATTGGTGTTGTTGAGTCATATTCTTCACAATCACTGGCTGCATCTGTGTTAGAAGACGTTCAGTATTGCCCAGATAAATCTTTGATCTTTTAGAAGAGCTCTCCATTGATTCAGATTTCCATTTTGGCTCATCTCTTAATAATAGCCATGCATGCTCAAAATTGAATATATCACCTACATCTTGTGAGTAAATTTTATATGCATTTGCGATGATGTCTTTTTCTGAGTTGCCACTTTTTTATTATCATGAGCTTGTTTATAACATCCGACAAATAATTGAATTGCTTTATTGATTCGAAACCAACGACTTTTTAACTGACCTGAATTCCTTACTAGAAATTAATTGCGATTGTTGTTGTAATTCTCCTTGATTCTAATCCAGAAACTATTTCCAGTTTGATCAACTCCAACAATTGGATCCTTCGAAATGTTGAGCCATAGATCTAGTGGAAGTGGCTTGAAAATTTCATATGATTTCAAGCTTCCACTTAGGAAACCGATTAGCTAGTTGATCTTAATCTTTGCTATTATTTAATTGTTATCTTTGATTTTTGTGCTTAGTTGTTTCGACTAGTTTGAGTAGCTTTTAATTGTTCACTTTTAGAGGAAGACAAGAAAAATTGTGAAAATCATAAAACATTAAAAATTTGTGAAAAGTTTTGGGGAACTAAAGTTACCATAAGGAGGTTTAGTGATTTCCAATTGAAAAGGATTAGTTATTAAGTGGCTCTTAGTAGCTCACCTCCCTTGATAGTGCAATTTGTACACTTAGACCTCCAAGTACTAATTTTGTTCCTAGAAAAGTCCAAAAACATTTTCTTTTTGCATAGCATATAAAAATCTTCTTGAAACTTAACCATGAGTAATCATTCTCAAAGTGATAGTGATTTGGAATCTCCAAAAAGTTTTTTTCATATTGTTAAAGAGATGAAATCACTAAAACTTTGGAGGAAGCAAGAAGTAAAAGAGAAAAAAAAACCGCCGCAAAATGACGAATTTCTTGTAGTGTTATAATCATAAACTCTTTTTTTCATTTGAATGTCATTGCTAGTATTTTATATACTACTTACTATATAGCAATATTAAATATTGTTGTAGAATAGTCATTTATTAAAAGTAATTTTTTTTTATTAGATAATAGGTTTGAATATTAGGTTTGTTTGAGATGACTAAAGATTCGGTTTGAGTTTGCATTTTTCAAGACATGGATCATTAAAATTCTATTTGATACATGGTCATATTTCCTCAAGTAGACCCCTTAATATGATAGTGACAAAAATTGAATCTCTTAATTGGTGAGAGACTCTTAATTTAATAAATAAAGTTTTAAGTTAAAGAGAAGAAACATTAATATAGAAAATACTTAATATTTTAAGTGAATGAAGAATAACTTAATAAATTAAAAATATTTTAGAATATTTTAAAAAAAATATTTTTAAATGTGATTAAATTAAATTATGTATTTTAAAAAAAAAGTGTATACTTTATTTCTAAAATAATAGAGTGTAATTAATTTTAATTATGTTATATTAAGCAAACTAAATTGGATATATTGCAATATAGGATGAGAGAATGACAATAGCTAGTGTAATTCACTCAACAATGCAATGCAACAATGATTGTGTTTATTAGTGCACGAACTAAAATATATCATCAATGCATGAACAAATTAGAAAATAAACTACAAAATGTCTACATCAGAACCTCGTAGATAAGGACATAAAATAACAAGACTCTTGTATTCACCGTGGTAAACAAGATGATTTAGTACATGAGTTAAACCGGCCTTGGTTTCTTTTTATAGTACGTCTTGGTCTGAATTCAAATATTCAATGTTACATATCTTTCTTTCACTCTCATCTATGGCGATTAATTATCAGACATTGTTCACTGTGCTCATAGTAATTGCAATGTTTTTCAGTGGTTGTCTGGTAGCAGTGTACTATCTCATAACCAAGATGTTGTACAACGAGAAATATAGCATCAAAGCTTACCAAAAGGCATTAGCAAAAGCAGCGAGCATGGAAAGGATGTCTCATTATGAGATTCCAGCCCACAAGTATGACAAGAAGAAGCATCATGAGGACGTAGCTGATGATGGTCACAAAGATGGCACTTGTCAATGTTTTAAAAGACAGTCTTCAACCATGATTTTGCATACAACGACATCAAGATTTTTGGGCTTTTCACGATTGCAACGTTATCACAATTGCAACTCTTTCAACCCTTCTTATCCACGGTTTCCTCCTACACTAAACATCGTGCCAAGAGCACAATCACGACCTCAATTTACAACCTTCACACTTGGGCTTGGGAGAGTTCGAGGAGGGTGAAGAGTTCAAGACAATGTACGAGTATATAAGAATTTAAGAGGTTTTTTATTTTTTATTTTTAAGAAATTTCTACTAAAAATAAGTTTTTTTTTTTCTGTTTCCTTCTAATAGAGAAACTTTGGTAGAAAAATTCTCAAAAACTCTTGTAATCTATTAGAATGATGTTTAACATGAGTGTTCGTTGATTTGGCAATCTAACAAAACTGATGATCAAAATTTAATCAACTAAGTTGATTTGATTTTTTTATTGTTTCAATCCAAATAAATTAAATTTGACTTTAATTTGTTTGGATCACGGATTTGTATTTTTCAAATATGATAATTTAGAAATCGAGCCAATTAAAATGATTATTACTAGTGAGGTAAGATAGTGTTTCTATATTTTATTTAATAAAATATTTAAAAATAATCAATTCTTTCTAAATTAATTGGTACTATGCTTAGCCCTCAAATCTTAAAGTCTGAAGTTTAAGTCTTGTATTTATAAGGATAATTAATTTTTAATATTATTTTTTATGATTTAAAAAGTTAAGGATAAAATTGTCTAAAAAATCCCTACACCAAAACAAGTTATCGCCTTTATATATATTATAGATTATTATTATTATTATTATTATTATTATTATTATCATCATCATCATCTTAGCATTATTTTAAAATATTAATTTTATTAGTAACACAAAAATGCGTGAATTAAAGACTACTTGAATAATGATTGTAACTCAAATAATTTAGTTACGTTTGAAGGACTACTGTAGTTTTAAATGTTGGAATACTTTAATTTTAAATGTTAGATTATGTTTGAATACAAGACTATCCTTAAAATTACATGTGAGATCCATCACTAAGTTCATAATTAGGAGAGTAGAGGATGATAGAGGAGCTATCATGCCTAGAGCTGTGCTCATCATGAGTGTAAAGTACTGATCATTTCCTAAACCTTGATATTATTAGTATAAGATTTATTGCTTTCTATTTCATTTCCTATTTTACCCTTGTATTTTGGGTACCCTAAATGGTAAGATTTATTTTGTTTGTATTTTCCATTTTGCCTTTGTATTATGGGGCACTTATACTGAGATTTATTTTTAGGACTTAAACCTTAACTCGTGAGGTGAAAGTCCACTTCTTTTCTTTTTTAGGTCAAAGGGTACTTTAGTCTTTTAGGGAGGAAGGAGTCATACTTGCATTTAGGGTTCATTTAAGATACATTTGAGTACATTTGGACTTGCATTACTCAGCCATGCACTCTAAATGCAACCCTATCTCCTTTCCTTTTCCTCTATAAGTATCATAGGCCTCCCACCTCTATAAGTATCAATCCAAACACTTGGCATATCTTAAAAGGACATTTCCTTATGATAGTTTATTTTGTTTTTTGAATTAAAAAAATGTGTATACTGAGAAAAAATCACTTTTGTTAAGCTTGCAAAAAAGTTTAATATTTATCTGAGATAATGGGATAGTTGAAGACACTCGCAATCTTTCCCTCGGCCTTCATGTATGTGATATTTTTTCTTAGTGATGCCTCTTTCTCTCTCACGCTCTCTTATACATTTGGTTGTATTTTCTTTCTTCCTTTTATTAACATCGAATTGTATTAGGCAGGGGGAATAAGTATAAAAGACCATAAGACATTTATAGCTTAGGTATACTATTTCACACAAGTGACTAGTATAAGCATTCAATTCAATGATACATTGGTACCATGCATTATCCAAAATAAAAGCCATAGGAATTTCATTAGCCAACAAATCAATAATCAATAATCAATACTAGAGTCGTTTTATGCCTCATCACTTGATTGGGAGTTCCTTAATGTGCCACTATATAAGTTGGTTTTACCCGTTGCTCATGCCAATCGCATCAATCCCTATATATATTATATATTAAACACGTGTAAGGAATAATTTTAGAAGATTTGATTTTACAAAAAATTGTAAATATTTAACTTTTAATCTAATTAAATTTTTTATTTATTATAATTATTTATAAACTAAATATTAATATTTTAAAATAAATTATCAATAAATAAGAATAATTATGTTACAATATAAATTATTTATCATAAAAATTAAAATAATTTATGTTTAAAATATCTTTTGTACAATTTTTAAATATAAATTATAATTCAAACATAGTATTTACTTATGTAATTTATTATAAATTTTGATTATATTATTATAATAAGCACGTTCAACATGTAATTTTGCATAATATGGTAGTCTCTGCAACATTATCCAAGGCCTTGTCGGCAACAACATGCACATAAACAATTTTAGCAAAATTGCTTCTACTAACCTCCAATTGTGATATAATTGAGAAAAACCAAGATCAATTTGATCAATCAAGGGCAATATCAGCTGAAAAGCTCAAATCCACTTGCTAAAAAACAGACAATTTGCCACCACAACTTCGAGTTGTATTTAAATTGATCCATGATATTTGAGTTGTTTCTATCACATCATTACTCTGAAAGACGCTTTACAACATGATACAAGGTTAAATAGTGTCCTATCCGGCTATAGTGTGAAGACATGAAATTAGTTAGTGATGCTAAAGACAGCAATATAGCTAAAGGAAGATCCAGTTGTATTCCTGAAAAACATGCATGCCAGCAATTAAAAAACACAACTAGAACAACCAAAAAGAGGATAGATCAAAGAAAAACAAAACAAGAGTAATAACTCAATTAACAGACTTGAGTTCGACAAAAAAACTGTAAGAGTGATATTTTAAAACTCATGATCATCATAAAGCTAAAGTGCAGAATCTCAAACAAAAATTTCTCCCAACTACAATATGGATTACAAACTAGCTTCTCAAGGACATCATTTCTTATCTTCTTTTTCAGCTTCAGCAGCTTTCTTTAGGCGGGCACCATAGTGGCGTTTGTTGGTGCGTTCCAGACGAAGCTTATAATATGCTTTGAATGCTTTCATTTCATCTGTTACCTTAACAAGATCAACAGATGGCTTCTCCCTCACTATGGGCAAGAATGGACCCTGAACTTGAGTGGCATTTGCCAGTTCTTCAGGGCTAGAATCACCAGCCTGCAAAAGAAAAATAAAATTAGGGCTATAAAAACCTCAAACCTTGATTTTGTTGCCAACTTCAAAGAAAGGATCAACATAAAATAGAAAGCACACATAATCACCAAACTAATAATTAAAGAAATAAGCATATTACCTTGACCTTGCGTGCCCGTCTTGGGAACACAACCAACTTGGCCTTATAAGTTTTCAGCCTCTGCACATTAGCCTGCATACTCTCCAAAGAACGATTCTTGCGGCGATGATCAACAGCAATGCCAATAGTTGGAGCAAGTTTTTTGGGAATACCAGCAGCCTAGAACAAACAAAAGAATTATTGTCAGGAAGAATAATTAGAGACAGAATTTCAGATGTTTTACACATTTTAAATGTAATTACTAGCTTAGTTTTTCATTTATAAACTGAATGAAAACAAAGATCATTTATAATTTTGAAAGAAATCAAAACTACATACAGCATAACTAGCAATGAAATGTTCGTGGGGTACAATATAAAGCTCTTCCATAGTAAGAAGCCAACAAGAAATAATGCACAGGCATCTCTTTGTTAACTTCAGATATTCATGTACCAAAGTAGCAGCCTTAGCATGACAGGTACAGACAGCTATAAGGCTATAACAGTCAAGTTCATTGGTATTTGATAACATTAACAACACCCTAGTTACCCCCACCAATCATGGAATTATTGTAAGCCATAACTTGGTAGCTGCCTAATAGGTGCTTTTGGGAGAGTGGGGGAAGAATAAGTCATTTTACCTTCAACTCTTCAAGAGAAAATCCTCTCCCAGCTCTTACTTTCATGTTGTATTTCAAAGTTTGACCGTGAACAACAGGCCTCAGAGGTCCACCAGTTGGCCTGGGGAAAATCTTGACAGCCTTCTTCTGCCGAGCTGAAAACACAACAATCATTAGTCACACAACCATGTGCTAGTTTCTTGAAAAACAAGTATTAAGCCAAATTGATTAACTAATTATCACAACAATATTAAAAAAAGAACAAGAAATAAGGTAAAATTTACCTAACCGTCTTCTGGTCTTCCTTGCTGGTTGATTAAACCAAGTCTTCACATAGTTTTGCCAGTGCTTTTTGAAGTGCCCATTTGGGATCACGTTGTTATGCTTAACCATGACTTACCTATGAATGAAAAAAATAACAATAATAGAACAAAGAAAATCACAGGGTCAACATAACATCATATAAAAAGACAAATCAACTACAAAGTCCAATTAAACATACCATGTCACCCTAACTAAACCCATACCCACTTGATATTCTGCATAACAAATCATGCTACAATGATACCAAAAGAAAAGATCCAATCTATCAACCATTATCATCATCTTTCATACATAAATGACTATCACCGTTTATAATCTTTCACTGTAAATTTTTATACAAACATCAATTTAATGGAATGTTTGTGTAAATGTTTTACAACAACAGTGAACAAAACATATACATCTGAATATACATTGGACCTATTTCAAGGGCTTTTAACCCAAAGAAAGAAGCTTAATAATTTGAGAGAAAATAAAAGTGTGAAAGTGATGAAGAGGAGGGAGTGGTAAAGGAACCTGCGGATGGTTCTTCAGTTGAAACGCCAAGGAGCTTCCTGTGTGGCTGCAGCTGCGCAGATACGCTCGGCAAAGAGAGGAAGGGTTAGTGTTAGGTTTTTAAAAGAGACTTCTCAAATGGGCCAACCCAGCCCGTTAGACCTTTAACGGGCCTCATAAAAAAAATTCTGTTAGCTCCGATGTGTGAGTTTTTTCTGGTGACAGGAGATTATTCATTTATTTATTTACTTAAAAATACTTTTTAAAATTACAAAAAGACCTTGTTTAATTATCATAAAAAAAAAAAGACCTTGTTTAATTCTTTCATGATTTCATATTTCTTTAAAAGCTAACACTTAAATATATGTATTTATGTATTTCTACGTGCTAATTATTTATTATATAGATTATTTTTTAAATATTAATATAAAATTTATATAAATATATATCATATTTATATTTATAAAAATATTTTATATTATGATGTAAGATAATTTTAAATATTTATAATTTAATTTAAAATTATTAAATGTAACTTACAAATCAATTAATATATATATAACACAAATAATAATCTTGCTCGAAAATATTTTTAAGAATTTTTCTTCGACAAGAGAGTTTTTTTAGGATTCTTTTAATTTTATATATAATTTGATTTTTATTTATTATAATAATTTATAAATTAAATTTAAATATTTTAAGATAAATTATTAATAAATAAAAAATAATTTTTATATTATAATATATTTTATTTATCCTAAATCCAGGGCTAAATGTTTTATATTATGATGAAAGCGTCCTCCTTGCCATGGCTTTTACTATTGGAGTTCTGGTTAAAGTTGATCGAAACACTATACGATTGAGAGGGGCAGATTTGCACGAGTTTGTGGGTTGATTGACCATTGTAAGTTTTTTTTAAAACTAATTATGTAAATGAAGCTATTTTAGAATTATCACAACGACATTAATAGCACGTATATTTTTTTTTTTTTTTTAAATAGCTTGAATTTAGTGGTGTAGATGTTGCCACTAGTTATTTCAACTTCTCAAATGACTTAAAAAAAATTTTATTTTTATTTTTGCAAAAATAAAAAATAAATATTTTTAAATAAATTTATTTTAGAACTGATCATTTAAAATATTTTAATAATTTACAAAAAAAATAATTTTTTTAAAAATAACCCAGAATAGTTCATTGAACCAAAATAAATTAGTAATATTTTGAAAATAAATATAAATAAAAATAATTACCATTCATAAAACTCTACTTTTATAAACAAAAACTTTTAAAAAACTGGAAAAAATATGTTAAAAAAATGTTAAAAAATGAAAATGAAAATGAAAAATATGAAAAAAAAAATGTGGATCAGACTATAACGACATTAATAGTACTTTATAAAATAAATTTAAATAAAAATAATTAACATTAAAAAATCCATTTTTATAAAGAAATTTTTTTAAAAGTGAAAAAAAAACTATAGAAAAAAAGCCGTTAAAAATGAAAAAAAAAAAAAAAAAACTGAGTCACAGAAGAAAAACAAAGTGAAAAAAATAACAAGAAATCAGAAAATAAAAAATGTGTAAAAGATGAAAAGAAAAAAAATGAAGGAAAAAAAAATAAAAAAAATGCAAGAGAAAAAAAATTGTATAATTAAAAAAAAGTGAGCAAAAATTGTTAAATAAATCTGAAAAGAAAAAAAAAAGGAAAAGAAAAAAAATAAGTGAAGGAAAAAATGTAAAACAATGCAAAAGAAAAAAATGAATTATAAAATTAAAAATAAAGTGAAAATAAATTATTAAAATAAATCTGGAAATAAAAAAAAATAAAAAAATGAGGTACTGCACCTTCCTCATTGCATGATTTCCACGTGTCATTTTCATCACAAAACCAACCAATAGGGATTCAACATGTGACACCCAAACAGTAAAAATTATATTTTTTTTATAATTATATTTCTTATATTAAATAATTCAATTCAAAAATAAATTTATTTTTTGCTTTATTTTTTAACAATTTATGTTAACTTTAAGATTTATTAAATAAATTTAATTTTTTAAAAAATGTTATATGTTAAAAATTTAAATAAATTATTTTTTTAAAAAATAATTATTGATGTCGTTATAGCATGTAACGACTTTATTTAATTACTTTTTTTTATAAAAATCTTTTTTAAAAGTTATAGTTTAAAGCGACTTCGTATAAATAAAATTATTTAATTATTTTTAAATTTATTTTTCTAAATTATATTACTTTCATTTTTTAAAACATAAATTAATATATTACAAATTTTAATATATTTACATATTATATAACAAATTTTAAAAATACAATTATGTTTCTAAGGAAAATAGTGACTTTATGTTTAATATTTTTAATCAATATTTATAAAATAATTTTATTTATTTAATAACTTATGAAAAATTTATATTATACTGTTAATAAAAAAAATACTTATTTTATTATATTTATATTTATAATTATATATATATATTCTGGTGTGGAAACATTTTAATAGAATAACCCCATATCCATTGTACCTCTAAGATAACGAGTGATTTGTTTAACTCCATTCCAATGTCTTCGTGTAGGTGAAGAACTATATCTTGCTAACAAATTAACAGCAAATGTTATATCCCACAATATATCTTGATATAAATACTATATTAATTTTTTTTTCTTTCACCATAAGTGAGAAATATCTATGTTTTATTGACGTGATATATTCTACATATTACATATATTTATTCTGCCTAATAATAATATATGTAATATGACACATATTTTATGCTCATGTTATCAATTTAAATATTTTGCAATAATTTTTTTTCTGTCATATCAATATATATATATATATATATATATATATATTTACCATTATATATTTTATAATAATATTTTTTATATTAAATAATTCAATTTAAAAATGAATTTTTTTCTTTATTTTAAAACAATTTATGTTAGTCTTAAAAATTATTAAATAATTTTAAATAATTTTTTTAAAAAAATAATTAATTGATGTCGTTATAGCCTCTAGCGACTTCATTTAATTATTTTTTTAAAAAAAAAATTCTTGGCACTATAGCCTGTAGCGACTTAGTAGATATAACATTAAGCCATTGTGTGTTGTTACTGGCTGTAGCGACTTTAGTTAAAGTGCTACCGACTCTGACGACTTTTACAGCATGTCTTTCATGGCTTCTAAAAAAAAATATTACACGTGGCACTAGTGTCGCTATGTTCCTTAGCGACACTGTAGTAAACTATCTCGAAGGTGTAAATAATTTCAAAACAACCCTATTTACATAATTAATTTTAAAAAGAGCCTTACTATAGTCAATCAGCCCGAGTTTGTGTTGAAATAGTTGTGGGCAAGATTAAAGTGAGAGATCAATGGTACAATGTTGAGTATGAGGGTCTTCACATTATATGCACATATTATGGGTGTTATGGACATGTTAGTCATAATGTACCAAAGTTCCACAATTACATGTTCATGGTGATAATGGTGTTGAATCCCACTCTAACGATATTTCTCATCATTCAGTTGTATCTGGTACTAGTGTTGACGACATTAACGTGGACAGTTGCATGGTGGACCAAGGTTGCCTTAGAGTTGACGTTCATGAGACAACAAAATCTATGCATGGGGAATGAACAACTTTAAGACCAGTGGGCTCTCTAAGCCCAAGGTACTCTTCATTTGGACTACTCTATCATGAAGAGGAAACATAGTTCTAATTGTATATAGTTTGTACATAGATTCCTTGTATAGGCTTATTTTTGTCTTTGTATTTGTGAGGCACTTTATTTCATGTTGTAGATCATTGTATATTATTTTTAGGGTAGGTTACTTGGAGACTTTTACTCCATTTAACCTAATTTTGAAGTACACTCATTTTCTATTTTTTCAGTAGTAGAAGTGGGGGTGACATTTAGTAATGCTTGAGGGTGTGACTAGTAATTGGGTCAGAATTGAGCCTAGACAAAATTTTTGAAACAATCAAAGTGAGCAAAATGGACCTTTGGCCGCCTAGCTTGCCTAGTCTCCTTTCCTTGGCCGAATTTCTTCCCTACCTTCAAAGCTTTGAGAAGCTTGTGCTACAAGCTTCTCCTTAGCTTGCTTCCCAAGCAAGCTAAGTGAGAAGCTTGCTCCACAAGTTTCTTAACTAGCTTGGACGGTCAAACAACCCAACCATGGTTCCTAGTGAACCATGGTTAAGGTTAGCTTGCTCCCTAAGCTACCTCCTTCTATATATTTGTAACTCCAACTCTTTCTCTCATTTTTGACATATATGAGAATAAGAATTCAGAAATTCTCTCTCATTCAAGAGTCCCAAAAATCATGGAGAATCTTCCTTCTCCTAGAAGCTTCACAAAGGAACTTCTCCTTTGTGCTTGGTTCCTCAAGTTTCTCTCCTTCTAGAGAAACCGAACCTCTTTGAGTTGCATCTTCAAGATTTGAAGCTTGAATCTCCTTCATTCCTCCATTGACGTGAAGAAACTCAAGAGAAGAAGGGATTTGGACGGTTCAACTTGGAGAAACAACAATCTTTTTCAAGATGTTCCATCATTTTTGGTATCAGAGCCTTGGTGCTCTTGAGGTTATGTGTCATACCATGGTTTCACTTAACCTTAGGCTAACCCATGGTTCACTTAACCTAATTTTTCCCTATATATTCTACATGGCCGAGACTTGTAGCCACTTTTGGATTATATACATGAGATTTCTCCTCTTAGAACTCTCTCCCTCCGAATGTCACTTGATCCTTTCTCTACCCTTTTTGAGCTCCTCTCTTTGTAGAGCTAGGATCACTCATCTTCTTCCGGACTTAGCAAGAGCAAGCCTAGGTCACATTGGTGCTTCTTAGAGTCTTCATCCTTGATATCTCTCCAAGGAATCCGAGAAGCATTGAAGGAATTCTTGAGATTTCACAAGTGGAATCTCATCATTAGCCCCCTTTGGAAGAGTCTCATGCCCACTAGATGTGGCAGTGCAAGTTAGAGTCCCTGTACATAAGAGGATAAAATAGGGTTTTTTAATCAAGAGAGTTTGTTTTGAAATGTTTTTCTCTTGATTAACAACTTCTAGAGAGGGGACTCCTTTCTCTCTAGAATTCTCTTTATCCCTAGTTTT